TATATTATTATTACAATTTCAAGATTATTATAGGCTATATTTCTCGAGTCTTAAGCTATAAAAATGTTATCCCTGTTGTTTCCTCAAGTTCAGTGTACTGCAGTTAATACAATTAAAATGAAAAGCTTCATACATTAAGCACTATATTAATGACTTTTAAGGTCTTTCAAAAAACTCGCATGCCCCACCATTAGTAAGAGCATTTCAAGCTGCCAAGCAAGGCAAAGAAAAAGCGACAAAAACAACGTGCTTAAAAGAGCAGTAAATGAGAATTTATCCACTTGCTGACCAACGAGCACACACAAGCACACTTCCATTTGCACACATACACAGGCAGAGACATACACACCCACACACACACACACACAGAGGGACGTCTGGGATACACGCACATCGTAAAGTTTTAATCGGATGTTGTCCAGCTTTACATGACGCCATCTACTGGCTTAGAGTGCAATATCCTGTGGCACGCGATAGCATCGCACACAATGGCAAAAGGGGGGCTGCCACACACGCACACACACACATACACACACAGACACGCTTTCTGCCCTGCTCTCTCGCTCACACACAGCGAATGGCTAACTCACATTTGTGTTGTTTATGCCGCCGTTTTGGATGCCTGTAGAAACGCTTTTGGCCCTTTGCCGTTTGATGGCATTCGGCATCGCAATGAACTCGCACCACGCTATGCCACATGGCAAAACAAAGCCCACGGACGGAGAGCACGACGGACTAGACACAGTTGCTGCTGCTGCTGCTGCTGTTGCTGTTGCTGTTGCAAAACAGTTGCCACAAAGGCTTGAAAAGCGCTAGAAAAAAATCAGTTGCTTGTGGACTGCGGCTGGGGCAAGCAGAGGTGGAATTGAGGGCTTCTTTTTTCTACGGATTTTCATTGTTGCCACACGCACTCTTGGCCCGACTGGCGTACAGCGTGCCGGGTCTGAGCAGCGGCAACGTCGTTGTCATTGTCGTGACAGGAAATTAAGATGAATGTGGCGAGCAAACTGCAGCTCCAACTGGACTTTGAACACACACACACACACACACATACATAGACCCAGTGGAGTGGACTCTGGGCTGGATGAGGCGAGTGGAAGTCGGACTTGGGTTTTGTCGCTTTTTCCCGCTGTTTGCGCTGTTTGTCTCTGTTGCTTAACGGTCTCTTAAAATATTCATAACACAAACTGTTGCCACTATCTGCAGATGCCAAGCCGCAAATGCGTCAGACTGCCATCAGCTGCAGCAGAGTGGAGTCAAGTGGAGTGAAGTGCAGTGGAGTGGAGTGGAGGGGTGCTACAGCAAAGCAAGGGTAAGTAATGCCATTGCTGGGTGCAAAAGTTGCGCTTTCGAGTTAATTGATTTTTATGAATTACTTACATAAGTGACTTTTTTATGCAGCGCCAACTAAATGAACACATAGGGGATTAGTGTAGAGCGTTGACTTAGTTGCCTTTGGGGGCGTTAAGGCATCGGATTTACATTCCACAATATTAGCTTGAAAACATAGTGAATGGTGTTGGCTGGACTGAAGCAGCGCTGCTGATTGCTTTGGTATTTTGTGTGGAAGCTCGTGGAAGATCAAAATACAACTGGGTTTGAAATTGAAGTTGAGCAATTAGCTGAAGAGGCTTCATAATATATTTTACTTAATGGATATGAGTATA